TGATCCCTACAGTAACAACCTCTTCTCTAATCATCGGTATCCAAATGCACTGATGTCCAAAAAGATTTTTTTATATATTTGCATTTATATAAATCTACCAAATATCAGAACAACTTTTCAAACTGATTAAACTAAATGGTATATCCAAAAAACCTCAAAATTAGAGTTATATTTAATAATAATGACCTGCCCATTGAGCAAAAAGACTCACCAGTTACCACCAACCTACCCGAAAACCATCATAAAATAGGCCCATGATGTAAACTGCAGCAGTGACTCCAACTTAAATAGTCTTAAAGACACCAATTCTCTTGTCCTACTACTGTTCAAACTAATTAAAAATCGTAAAAAATTTTAAAATATTTTTATTTGCAACTCACATATAAAGCAGGCTTTCAGCTGGCAAAAAAAACCGCACCTCAAACAAGGCTACCAAATCAAGATATTTTTTAACGTTGTTTCAATAAAATGAACACTAGTTTTTGCAAAAATTGTTATAACTGTCCAGTAATTTACATCCACATCTAGCCTTAATCCAGTATTTGGCTATCAAAATCCAATTTTAAAATTCACTCATTCTTTGAAAAGGTGATATAATTTGTTTCCAATAACTTTGAATTGCACAGTTTTAATGTAACCACGTTCTGAAACCTTAAAACCCAATAACTTTCTTCATCTATAGCTGTTTTCAGGATTTTATAACATACAAATGTTTTCAAGCATTTTGAAAAATAATCTCTACTTTGTATTCATTCGAATGCACAGAAAAATACAGCTAAAACAAACATACATATAAACCAGCAAAAATAAAAAAAAACAAAAAAAACGCCTTACAGTTTAACAGAGCAAACCATAAAAACAAATGACGAAACTTAATCCAAATTAACTCAACCACACTTATGAAAATAAAACTTCTCCAACAAATTTAAGAAATAACAAATTACTCAATCACTTTGTTCTGGTTCTGTAACGGACTTCTGTCGAAATAATTTGGAACCTTATTACAAAGAATAAAGAGTCAAGATATAGTCTTTACTTTCCATATGCCATCGTTCAAATGATGCATATTTTCAATGCCAACACCCTAAAGACAAGGGGTTCACTGACAGAAACTCAGTTTGTTGAAAAAAAGAAAAAAACAAGGTAGAACCGCTAGATAAAATATTAATAGCAAAGATCTAAAATAACCTTATTCACTGAACGAATTTCTTCAGTTGACATTTTCATAATGCCTATTCCTAATGCATGCTTTTTTCCTTCAGCCATTACTGCGACCAGCTATAAAAAGCATCGTAGTAAGTTTAGTAAAATTTCAAGAGATGTATATGCCATAACAACTTCAAAGCAAAAAACAGTAAACAGCTCGACCTAACCGTATCTTTTGGCACGTTATCTGTCATTTTTGCGCCAGGACTTGTTAGACCAGGACACATTATTTGTGAGCCGTTCAGAACAAACTTTATAGCACCTTTGTCAACCTGTCAAATTACACAGCCAATTATTACATTCTGAAGTAAGAATATTAAGCTATTAGAAATTTGACCACAAATTCTAGCGCTTAAAGCCATTAAATGCACACAAAGTAGTGAAAAACACTTTCCCATTACTGAAAGTTCTTAGGTCGACATTTACATTTGCAAACTTGCTAAACAGAAACAAGAAATAAAAGTATTTGTAGTGACATAGTTTAAATAAGCAGCAAACAAAAAAAAAAAAGAACGAAACATTGAGGCAACCTGCTGATGAGGCATAATGAAAGGGTATTTGTGAAGAAGTCGCAGTGCGGGAATATAGCCCGTATCTCGAGTTTTAATAAAATTTACAGTCCCTTCGGAATCAACTATTAACTCAATATGATCTAAAAAGTTGAAGAGAAGTTTTAACTCCAAAGCATCAGAGAATTAAAAAAATAGTCATATCAGTAATTTTAATAACGTCCTAATTTGACGAAAGTCCACTATGCCAAAATTTTAAATAAATATTCATATCAACGATGAGTTAAAAGTGATTAACGTCTGCATCATCAAAAACCAACACCAGTCATTACAAAGTGAAAAAAAAATAATAACGAAAGCTAACACTATTCACTAATGTGAAGTCGTCAAAAAAAATATCCTTAAGTACTGAAAAAATTTAAATTCCTTAATCTTGCGTTAAAGTTTAAAAAAATTAGTTCAATATTGTAAAGGAAAAAAAGCAGAATGTACTGCAAAAACCTACCTTTGCACTTCACCAACTTGAAATTTTCCTTTTTAGGTAATATGTCTTCAATATATTTTTCTAATAAAGGGAACTGTTCAACAATTTTTTGCCGAATACTTTTCTGCAAAAAAAAGGCAATAAACACTTAGCATGCAAAAATGAAATACCTTACTGCATGCAAGAGACTGATTCAAAATACCAGTTAGAAGTGCTCAATCTTTCAAAAGTTATTCAGAGATAGAAAAAAAGTAAAAACCGGTAAAAGTATGAAGTCTTAACCAAAGAAAAAGAACGGAAAAAGACAAAAGCTGGTTAAATGTCTTCAGATCAAACTAAGAGTAATATTTCATATTTGCTTTTAACTTCAAACAAACTTTGAGTGTGTTGCTTTAGAATCAATTACAAGATTATAAAGAGAGGCCATTTGCACACTCAATAAAGTGGATATAAAAAGCCTAATCAAAATTCCAGAATTGTGTTGAGAGAACATTTGCATTAAAGCTCGACAGTAGCTACAACAACTTATGACCACTGCCAGATTAAAATCTTTTATGTGGTAAACACTACAAAAAAAAAAAAAAAAAAAA